AGCGCGGGCGGGGCGCTTCGGCCCCTCCCCCCTTCCTGAACCCTCTCCGGGTACACGTGGGCTCGGCGTCTGGGCCGCGCTAGTTTTCATTAGCTTTCTCGAATCTTCGAGTAGACTGGCAAAATTAGCAGTGTCCTTAGACTGCGTCACTAACTCCAATCCAATTTGCTTTTGAGTCGTCGGTTAAAAACGCTTATAAAAATGAATAGGGAAGGTCGAGCTTTTTGCGCCTCAAAACAGAAAAGGTTTTTCTGTTTGTGTATTGGCGTGGTCTGTCATAAAGGGTGTCGTGTGTTGTAGGAGACGGCAAAACAGAACAGAAAGGCGGAGATAAAAAGAGAGGTGTTAAAAGACCCCGAGAAGATCATGGCCGTGGATATTTTGAATACATCGAAGAGAACAAGTATAGCAGGTAGAGGATGCTAACGTAGTTTTTATTTGTCACCCAGTCTATTCTTTGGTAAGGAAAGCTGTATCAGGAGACAATTCTGTCTTTTCAGAGCTAAATCTCCTCAGCCACCTGTTGAAGAAGAAGATGAACACTTCGATGACACGGTGGTTTGTCTTGATACTTGTAAGTGAAGCTGTTTCTCCCCCTTTCTCCCCTAATTGTCAGATGTGATTTTTGGTTCCAAAATGTTAGAAAATTTAATGGGTTTGAACAGTTCATTTGAAAGTAGGAAGATGGTGGTTTATTTAGATTCCGTCACCTAATAGTGCAGAAGTGGTATTTGATAATTCTGCAGGCTCTAGCAATTTGATCATTCTTTTGGTTGTGACTTTAAAGTTCTCGTTTGTAGGAATGTAAAATTAATGCCAGCGTTTTGACTAGTTAATGGAAACTTGTAAGACCACTTATAGCTTATCATTATAGGCGTCTACAATAAAATAATGTCTTTTTTGTGGAATTAATATTAAGTGAGCTATTTAGGCTAAATATTTATTAATGACTACCCATTAGCACACAAGCATATTCCCTATTCTGAAAGATTGTAATACTACTTTCTCAATAACTGCTCTTTTGTTCTCAATTCCAGTTCAGTAGCTGCTGCTTTAATAAGTTGATTTCTTCCAAAGACCTGGGGCAGCAGCAGTGGGCTATCACTGGGCCACTAGCTTTCTTCAGCAGCGAATGGTATCAATGGCAGCGCTGTAAATACTGCTACTTTACCCAGTTGGGTTGCAATTGAGTATAAGGAAGTATTGCAAACCTCTATAAATGGGCCTTGGCTGTCAGATTTCTAAATTTTTTTTAATACAGAAAAAATAGTTGGTTTAGTATTGATCAGAATGTACAATTCTTTCTGTTAAATAGAACAAAGGGTAGAAATAATTGCTTAGAGGTAAGGTGTCAACCTGCCCAGTAGGTATGGGGAGTTGAATCTTAGAAGAGATTCTCATGCTTTGGAATAGAAAGTTTTTAATTCAGACATACAGGACTGTAAATTTAAGTCTTAATTTCTTACTGCATAGCTTTTACACAGTTGAGATGTGGAGTCTTTAGAAAAAAGTGCACATGGAAAAGTAGATTGAAAGTCTTATGTTAAATTTAGTTGCTAAAATATTGGCAAGATAATGAAGCAATTATTTAGAAAGCTAACACTTATAAAAGGCTTTTAGCTCATCAACTAGGACTATCAATTTGTTAAGTGCATTATTGGGTTCAAACACTTTATTGAATTATAAATTCTGTAATGATGATCAGGAATTTAAGGAGTGAAGTTAATTTAGGGAGAGTTCCAAACTGTAAACAGACAAATTTCCTCTCACCAATAAGCATTTAAAGTGTAATTTAGTGCTCCCTCAACCGAGAATTTGGAAAGTGCATTCTAATGAGCCAGTGACCCAAAGGCAGCTAGTTTTGGATTTTGGATCCCCCCCCATTGTTAGTAACAGTTATTTTAATAGTTTTACTTCAGCTTTATATAAAAGGCAAGCCTGGGGGAAGGGGACCTGAAATGCTGTTATAGTCTGCAGCATTAGATGACCAGGCTCGTACTTTGTAGGTTGGGACTGCCTTCTTAACAAGTTTTGGAGAAACTTTAAAATCTAGAGCCCCTGGTGTTTTAAAATTATAAAGTGCAGAATAAACAGCTCATATTCTTATTTTGAAATACTTGGTTATGGCCTCCCTTCAGTTTTATTGTGGCACTGGTAAATTCTACCTGGTCTGGCATGCTTCACTTTGATTTCCTGCTATCTTCTACTGCTTGCCTCTAAATCAAGGTAAAGAGCAGAGCAGGTATGTATTAATGTCACATTGTCTTGATTATTTTGTATACTTAAATACACATATCAAACCTTGATGTTCGTTAGTTGTATAGGTAGTGTACACTTTAGTTCATAATTTGGCAAGAGTGACTTGGTGGGAGTGGGGCTTCAGCATGATCTGTGAAAATGTATGCAATGTTAAATGTAAAAAGAATTTAATAAAGGTTTGTCTACATAGCAGATACTTACACTGGATGTCAAAAGAAATAATATGGTATTTGGTATAATTACAGATAATTGTGATCTACACTTTAAAATATCAAGAGATCGCCTCAGTGCTTCTTCCCTTACTATGGAGAGTTTTGCTTTTCTTTGGGCTGGAGGAAGGGCATCTTATGGTGTGTCGAAAGGCAAAGTCTGTTTTGAGATGAAGGTAATGCAGTTTTGATTTTTTTTTTATATAAATAAGAACCTTTGTGCGTTTTCATTTGCATGACACTGTTGGGTATCTGTGGAACTTGTAAGTAATTTTTGACGTTTTTGTGGGTTAGAAGAGGGACTTGGAACCTATGTGTTACAACATTTGAGGATGTTACAGATGTTATATCAAAAGTTGCCCTAAAAAGCCAGCCTGTTTTTCATTTAGGGCTTTCCTTTTTTTTATCAGCGACTTGAAAGGCTCACCAAGGGTTTGAAAATTTTAAAAATTTGGCTGGGCTCCTAGTTTTGTACCAGAAGGATACTTTAGTTGGTTTTCAGTTGAGAATTGAGAATATGTAATTTCAGCATTAATGTTCTTTTAAATGTGAATCAACCAAGTGTTTGGTTTATTTTCAAATTCAACTTACAAGCCCTAACATCAGTTTTTAAAGTTCTTGTAAATGTTGGCTAGTGGTGGGGAAGACTGGGTGTCTTTTTGTGCTTAGTAGCCAGAGAAAAATTAGCCTATTGCCGAAATGAAATAAGCCAGGGTTGGTTTAGTGGTTTATCTTCCTTGGTTTACAGTTTAATCACTTATGATTTGACTTTCAGGTTACAGAGAAGATCCCAGTAAGGCATTTGTATACAAAAGACATTGACATACATGAAGTTCGGATTGGCTGGTCACTAACCACAAGTGGAATGTTGCTTGGTAAAGTTTCTGCTTGAGTACTGTGTTCTCACAAGTGTTTAGGGTTTGATTTCAGTAGTTATACTGGAAGGCATTCTAAATCTTTTCTCTCTTCTTTATTCTGGTGGTATTTTAGAGATGAATAATAATAACACGTAGTAAGCACAGGCTAAATTTTAGGTTTTTTCTTTATGGTTACTTGGTTTATGACGGATGGTTAAAATAGAAGGTTATCCATGGCATGGAATAGTTACATAACCACATAGCTCTCATTAACTTTTCAGTATAAAGTCAATGTAAGTGAAAGAATATTAGGTTACATACTCATCATTTGTCTTGAACCCTACATCTTTAATGTTAAAACATGTGGGTCATTAGAGTGTTTTGAAAAATTGACTTCATGAAAGTAAATTGTTTTCTTAGGTGAAGAAGAGTTTTCTTATGGGTATTCTCTAAAAGGAATAAAAACATGCAACTGTGAGACCGAAGATTATGGAGAGAAGTTTGATGAAAATGATGTGATTACATGTTTTGCTGTAAGTCATAGCTAAATTTCTATATATAAGTAGCAAGCTATTAGATAGTATTTTGAAGTTTTATCAGTGTCACCTTTCAATGCTAATTCATTTAGACAACTTATGTGAATTTGACCTGAAAATCTAGTTTATTTTTCAGGACAATATTTCTTCTGGGTATAGGTGTTTCGTTTTTCTATAACCACCAGAAAGCCCTTTAACATTTAACCAAAATATGTTTTCCATAGGATAAGCTTCATTCCTAACTTGAATTTTGAATTTTTTTAGAAGACTTACTAGAAGCAGATTATAACCCATTAATAAGTCCCCCCCCCCTCCATTAACAGAACTTTGAAAGTGATGAAGTAGAACTCTCCTATGCAAAGAATGGACAAGATCTTGGCATTGCCTTCAAAATCAGTAAGGAAGTGCTTGCTGGACGACCACTCTTCCCGCATGTTCTCTGCCATAACTGTGCAGTTGAATTTAATTTTGGTCAGAAGGAAAAGCCGTATTTTCCAATACCTGAAGACTATACTTTCATCCAGAATGTCCCCTTGGAAGATCGGGTTAGAGGACCAAAGGGGCCTGAAGAGAAGAAAGATTGTGAAGTAAGTCACTTAAAAAAAATGGAAGATTGCTTTTGCTTGACAAAAATGACACTCAGAAGAGCTGAATGGTTGGCCTGTTTTAATTTACTTCTTGCCATACATGTTCTCAGATTTTTCTCTTAGTCATCTCTAAGTGGAATGTTCAGTAGCCCACAAGGTTGTCTTGTTAAAGGGCTGTGAGATTTTAGATACATAAACTGGGTTCTTGTGCATTCAAAAAAACATCTTAAGAACTATTAGGTGGTTTCTAATGATTAGGCTGAAGAAACATTTCTTCCTATTGTAGGTGGTTATGATGATTGGCTTGCCAGGAGCTGGAAAAACTACCTGGGTTACTAAACATGCAGCAGAAAATCCTGGTAAATACAACATTCTTGGAACAAATACCATAATGGATAAAATGATGGTAAGTAAAATGTTTGGGGCATGATCAGCATTTCTAAAAGACCAGAATGTATTCTAGGTAATGCTTTTGCCTGTTGTCTTTATCCATTTTGTTAATACCTTAGAGATAGGAGTTTGGACAAAGTTTAATTGGTTATTTAGTAGGCTTTTACGTGTAAGGTAAATTGCCTTCCACTGGCTAGGTTTCATTGTCTTTTTAATAGACTTTTTTGAACTCTTAACATTCAGCAGCTATTGAGTAAAAAGAATTGAGTAGGATTGGGTGTTGTTACATGATAAAATAACCTTTTTTGTAGCAATAATGAGAAAAGGCAGTATTTAAATTTTAAAACGTTGCCTGCTTTCCACATAGATCTAAGCTAATGTTAAAACCTTACCCTGAGATCCACAAGTTCAAAGGAAATTTTACTTTTAAAAATAGGTGGCAGGTTTTAAGAAGCAAATGGCAGATACTGGAAAACTGAACACACTGTTGCAGAGAGCTCCACAGTGTCTAGGAAAGTTTATTGAGATTGCTGCCCGTAAGAAGCGAAATTTCATTTTGGATCAGGTAAGCTGTAGCTTTAAAGTTAAAAAAAAGTAACTGATAATTGGATTTGGTGTAGAATTAATGTTTAGGGTTATAAACTTTTCTTTTTTTTTTTTTAAGACAAATGTGTCTGCTGCTGCCCAGAGGAGAAAAATGTGCCTGTTTGCAGGCTTCCAACGAAAAGCTGTTGTAGTTTGCCCAAAAGATGAAGACTACAAGCAAAGAACACAGAAGAAAGCTGAAGTAGAGGGGAAAGACCTACCAGAACATGCAGTTCTCAAAATGAAAGGCATGAAATTTAATTCTACTGTTACATATCCTTCTATGATGTATGTCTGTAAACTTAAATTTTCTCCCAGTAATACTGATTGAAGAGTTAAATTAACTCTTCGTGAATGAGTGTATTTGATTTTTTTCTCTTTTTAAAATAAAGTGTTTTGCAAGAAGTAAAGCTGAAAATGGTAGGCTTTGGGATTGTGAATATGTATATAATGGCTTTGTAGATTAATCTTACTTAATTTTTTGCAGGAAACTTTACTCTGCCAGAAGTAGCTGAGTGCTTTGATGAAATAACCTATGTTGAACTTCAGAAGGAGGAAGCCCAAAAACTTTTGGAGCAATATAAGGAAGAAAGCAAAAAGGCTCTTCCACCAGAAAAGAAGCAGAACACAGGCTCGAAGAAGAGCAATAAAAATAAGAGTGGCAAGAACCAGTTTAACAGAGGTGGTGGCCATAGAGGACGTGGTGGATTCAATATGCGTGGTGGAAATTTTAGAGGAGGAGGCAAGTTGATTTCCATTTATCTGGTTCAAGATGGAGACAAGTGATAATCTATGGTCTTTTAGTTTGGGTCTGTGTTCTTTAGCTGAATTTAACATAGGAAGTTTTTGATCCTCATTGATCCTAGCTCTCTAGTAACTAGTAAAATCTTCATGTGATTTGATAGTAAACACACCTAGGTTATATCAGTTGTTAAACATTTTTGTTTTTAAACATTTTTCTCCTAAACTAAAGGAATGGTCCAGAAGAACTGTAAGTCATGTTTATAAAGAAGGTACAACACACATTAAATACAATGTCTCGTTTTTAGCTCCTGGAAATCGTGGTGGATATAACAGGAGGGGCAATATGCCACAGAGAGGTGGTGGCGGTGGCGGAAGTGGTGGAATTGGCTATCCATATCCTCGTGGCCCTGTTTTTCCCAGCCGAGGCGGTTACTCAAATAGAGGAAACTACAACAGAGGTGGAATGCCCAACAGAGGGAACTACAACCAGGTAATGGTTTATGGTCCTTGCAGACACTGATTTTCTATATAATTTAGTCTGGAAAATTAAACACATGTTACATAGCTTCAGCTAGAATTGTAAGGAACACAGTGTGTATGCATAGTGATGGTAAAACGAATTTAATTAACGTTGTTTTTCAGGTACATTAGCTAGCAACAAGTCAGATGATAACCTCGTAACAAATAAATTAATCGCCTGAGAACAAATCCGGCAAAGGGTACCTAGAGTTTAATGGCTGGCAATCCATTTCTGTGGCCATGTCCCTTCATCTCCCCTACACCTACAAACCTGAAAACTTGCTGTGCTGAGTTCTTAAAAGTTGTTTTTCCTTTTCGTAGAACTTCAGAGGACGAGGAAACAATCGTGGCTACAAAAATCAATCTCAGGGCTACAACCAGTGGCAGCAGGGTGTAAGTAATTCCTTACATGCTTTTTTGTACATATAATTGTATTTTGAGTTCATAAAAAAGATGTGCAGGGATTGAAGTGTTTATTACAGGGTGCAAGATGTGAATTGTGTTGTACTTGTAGCCATAATGTTATCCTTTGAAGGCAAAATAGGTTGGAGTTTAACTTAGTATTTTTTAATAAAGTAATATTATTTAATTATGGTTGTTTTTACTGCTAGTTTTAATTGTATAAACTAACCAAGTTGTAATGTTTCCTTTTGTAATGTGTATTGATAATGGGATATTAATGCTAACTAAATCTGGCTTGATAAATCAGAGGTATGACAGGTATAATTTTGTTTCCAGCAATTACTCTGAATTAGATTGTCATTTCCTAAAAGCAGTTTGAGTGGCTTATTGATGTTTTTTCTTTAAAAAAAAAATTTTCTCTTACAGCAATTCTGGGGTCAGAAGCCATGGAGTCAGCATTATCACCAAGGATATTATTGAATACCCAAATAAAACGAACTGATACATATTTCTCCAAAACCTTCACAAGAAGTCGACTGTTTTCTTTAGTAGGCTAACTTTTTAAACATTCCACAAGAGGAAGTGCCTGCGGGTTCCTTTTTTAGAAGCTTTGTGGGTTGATTTTTTTTCTTTTCTTTTTTGTACATTTTTAATTGCAGTTTTAAAGTGAATCGTAAGAGAACCTCAGCATTGTGCACGATAAGAGAATGTGTCAGTATTTCAGGGTTCTACATTTTATCTGTAAAATGTGACTTTTTTTTTTATCACAACAAAAGTAAAATGTTGCTTTGTACCTGGTGTCTTTTATTAAGAATTTACTCCCCCCATTTCTCACAGAGATAACAGTCGGGAGTCATTGTCACAATATAATAGAAATGTTAGCAACCAGATTCATGTAAGGACTAAGTGGTCCTCATGAATTGCATAAGACTCTGTACTGCTCATATTACACTCCATCCTCTCTTAGTTTGCTGAGTAGTTGGAGGGGTAAGCTAAATAGTAGTTTTGACAATAACTGGGAAGGCTCTTTTTAAATAACATTAGAATTGGCATAATTGGGACTGAAAGTAAATTTTGGAACCAAGATAGAGAAGATGGAGTGTATGTAGAAGGGCTGTTAAAAATGTAAAACTTGGTTGCATTATTTGTGGAGGCTCAAACTTGTGAAGGTTAAATACCATAATTTTTCCATTTGTTCTGCATTTTGATTCTGAAAAGAAAGCTGGCTTTGCCCATTTCTTATTAAAAAAACTTGTTGTAAATCCAGTTGTCTAATGGGATCTATATGAAGTTAGCTATGTCTGTATGCCCTTCTCCCACAAAATACTGTATAACTAGTGTGCTTGTAGTAGTTAACTCCACCATCTTTGTAAGCTAATGAAATTGTGAGTCACCCATTTATATCTTAATTTTTAATCATGTCAGTTCTTGAATGGGTATCTCCTTAGCCTGCTGATTTCTTTTTCTTTCTAAAGAAAGTGGGTGGAGAAATTAATTTAGACGTTTGTTTGCAATAAAAAGAATTCATTTTACTCTCGTTTTGGGATTCTCGCCATCAAGGTTCAAAATCCCTTTATGAAACTCCCAAGAGGAGAAAATTTAAGTGTGTGCTTTCTGGACAGCTTATTCTTTACTTTGTACTTGGAACATTTAGGTTTTAAAAACTTAAATGTATACTGACAAACCAATTTTAGTATGAAGTAAAGTTGAAATCTTCCCCTCCCCCCCAGATGACTTAAACGTTTAAACGAGGGGAAAAGGTACTGGCTGGGAGAAGTTAACACAGTTTATCATCTTTACGAAATGCTAATGGCTGTCCTCAACTGATAATTTTATGTACATCTATGTTACATGAAATGCTGGGAACAGATGCTTTTAGAAGCCATCATGCAAGCCAGTCATTGATTTCACTGCTACACAACACTGCTAACTTAACTGTAGTTACGTGATAACATTAGATCCCCTAATTGTAATTTTATTGGGTTTGCACAGAACACTTAATCTAAAGGACCCTCACTAAGGTGAGGAATCAGGAGTCAAACTGTAGAACTAAAACTTGACGTCAGTTCAGTGTTTTGTTGCTGTTTTAGGTTGCTACTGGTAAGTTTAGGTTTGTTTATATTTCTGATTGCCTAGATTTTTGTTTCAGCCATTTAAAATCAGATTTTCTATTTATACTCCTAGGGATTCTGCTTAAAGATGGTCTGGAGTTGAGTTTCAGGTGGTGGTGTAGTTTCAGTTGAGGTTTTGGGAACAAAGGCTAATCCTTCAATTATAGGAATACTTAACAGTACAAGATAATGTCTCAAGGGCTTTTTTCTTTTTAGCAATACTGCTAGCATCCATTGACATGAGCATACTCTTTAGTATGCACCAGTATTATTAGGTTTGCATAAACTTACCCAGGGGGAAATTTAAACTTTGTTGCTAATCATTGTTTAGGTGTCTTAAATGTTTAGGTTTTTTTAAAAATCTTGCATATACCTTTGAGTTTAAATTTACATATTAAGGAATTTATATTCTAATTATTGCAATAGGAGAGTGATGACAAAATAACAAAACACTATTTGGTAGGGTGTCATTCCTGTGTAGCCCAGAAAGTTTTGGGAAGAGAGATGGGATAGATAGAAACGTTGCGCAGAAAAATGTTAAATTTTAAGCAGCGTCAAGGTCTATGTCTCCATTTGTATAAAAATCCTAAAGAGAAAAAGAAATTCAGAAGAGGGAGTATTATAAAATAGGCAAGAGAAAAAGTAAGTTGACAAATGCTAAGTTCAGCAGAACAAGATCAACAGATGAGACACTTGGGTTTATTGTTCACCCCATCCCTTGCCTACCTCTGCTCTATGGCAAGCAAAACTGCATAAACAAATATAATAGATACCGTAAACAGATGTCCCAGCAATATCCTGAGAAAGCTCACCTGTGAGATTGCTGTTAACAAAAAATGCTGCAAGATAGAAATGATGAAGTAACTTGAACTGTAGAAAGTTCTTTGTTGCTGGTAGGTTACAGCTTATTACTCTTATCCTTTGGTGGAGGGCTCTGCTCTGACCCAGGAAGCTGAGACAAGCTTCTGGCCCTGCCTAATACCCAGACAGCAAGATGAAATCTTACAAATGAAGAATGAGTCAAATAAATATGACACTGAAATAACAAAAGGAAGCCATATTGAATCTATAAAACAATAAGCTCTCATTTGCCTAGGGTAGATCCTGTCTGGAAATAGGAATTTGAAACTATTTCTCGAATACTAACAACAAGGTATTGAAGTTTCTCAAAAATAATTTTCCTTAATTTTTTTACAGGAAAAGTAACTAATAGTATTTTAGATTATTTTTCACCTCCTGGGGAATTTATACAGGCAGATTGTGTTCTATATTTTTTTTTCCTTTTTTGGAAATTCAGTTGACATGTTTTTCTGGGAACTTTTACTTAATATAAATTGGCTTTTTATCCTGTGATTGCTTTTATAATAGGTCCCATTACACAAAACAGAAGTATTTTGATAGCTTTTAAGGCAGTGGAATAGACATCTTTCACATAAAAAGGACTGGTGGTAGATGTGTATCTGATGTTTTTAAAAAGCAATAACCAGAATAAAATTACTAAGGAAGGTGTAAACTGGTATCTTTCCTAGCCTCTTAGTTTCTGGTATTAGACATAAAAATAAACATCTTAAAAATACTAGTTTCCATAACTTCCTACACATAAGTAAGATTTTTTTTGTTTCTTTTTTAAATGGCGCCTGTAGCTGAGAATAAGTTACCTAGCTTTCAACCCCCCAGAATACTCATTGAAATAATCTTTGGAAGACATAACACGATGCTCTTTCTAAAGCCATTTTCTCCTGAAGTTCTTGAAATATTTTGACTCTAAACTTTGTCATTGTTCATATTTCTTGGCCTCTGAAATTGAGGTATTTAGAAAAGGTTTGAAAATGAGCTTATGTTTAAACATTTTAGTAATTTATAAAAACGGACACATGTTAGTGGCCTTTGTAATACGTTGTAATGCTTAGCTTAGGGACTATTAGTGCTTTGAGTAAGAATCTGAGGTGGAGAGCCTCTTCCTTGGATAATAGATTTGAAAAAAATTTTCCCCCATTATTTCACAGCTTCTACAGTAAAACATGCAAGTAATAGATCTAGCTAGTTTCGTACTTGAGTTTCATTTAGGCTCTAATGCCCAGTTTTTAACTTAGTGCTAGTACTCCAGGTACATGTTTACTTCACCTAATTCATGATGAAGTGATGTTTGTCTTTTTTTTTTTTTAACCTTGATGAATAAAGTAAACCCTTGAGAATTACCTTGAAAGTGACTACAGTACTGGTGTAGTATGTGTCCATCAGTGTGTTGAGGTAGGAAAAAAAAAAACCCCAGGATCCCTAAGTATCTTAACATTCTAAAATTTGTAAGTTGTGAAACGGAACAGTTGAAATAACCTACCTTGACATGTACTTTTTATTATATTGTGCTAATAAAGTGTGCTACTTTATTTGGTAGTCACACTTAGTAAATTTCAACTGTCCAGGCAACCTGGAGCTCAGAGCTTTAAGTAGGTGGGAAATGGCTAACAAAGATTACGAACATAAGTGTATCAGTGAGAATATATACTTCCACATCGTAGCCAATTGACTTAAAATACAAGTGGTTGAATATGTTTGCGTAAGGAATTTCATCTGTAAGGAAGAGTTGATTGGAAATAGGTGGAACTAATTATATTCATAATATTAACCCAGATTTGCTCAAAATGTAACCTATATTTCTGCAATTAGGTTGGCAGTGCACTAGTAACTTGGGAAGCTGAATAAGTAAAATTTTTGTCATTGTGTAGACACTAATTTCACTTACGATTGTAGTTCTAGTATTAGGGGAATAAATGCTGCATGTACCTGATAGGCCAGGACATCAGTAATCACTGTTAAAGGTTAGGTGAGTTGTTGGAAGAACTTAACCATTTGTAATCATTTCTAATTACTGCTTGGGAGTGTTAAAGTTTTTTTCTCCTTTATGCTAGGAATGAACATATACTTTTGCATCGTGACAAGGAACAGGGATCTTAATTTTAAACAAAGCTGGATCTGTGGGTATGAGAATCTGTACTGTAGTTGAAAGTTGATGAAGTAATAGTGCAGGCAAATGGAGACGTCATGGAAAGGTGCAGTTCCTTGTTCAGATGTTGCACCATTTGCCTCCCAGTGCTGTACCAATGCACAGCAGTTACTCTTGAGCATGTCCAGCTTGGGTATCTGTACTACTGGACATTACACAGGGATTACAGGCCTGGAAAGCTACCTAATAAACACTGAACTACTGTTTGTGGCTGTTTTCTGCCATTCCTTTAACAGTTCATTCCATGATCTTACAGGAAGTAAAATTAGGCTTGTCTGGTAAAACATTTTATACCTGACAAGCACTTAAGCACTGAAGAAAAAATAAATTAACAAAAGCAACCAAGAACAATGATATATGGCCAGTGTTGACAGTTTAAGTTGTGTGGGATGAAAGCCTCAAAAATATTCAAGTATACATAGAGAAAAATATGAGGTAAAATTAAGTTCTGAAGAAAAATTGGAGCTCACTTGAATAATGGTAATTTTTTAATGCAGCTATTAAGGTGTCCTTTTATCACAGAAGGGAGAGGGGAATGTCCTAGTCAAGTACAACAAAAGGTTCCAACTTACTATTTTTTTTTGAAAAATAAAGCAAGAAATAATATGCTGATTTAAATTTCATCTCCTTTTCCTTAGTCTGTCCATGTGAATGTGCTGTGTGGAAGAGTAAAAGGGCCCAAGTAAATGTGTTCCAGTGATTCCAATAGGTATTCCAAATTAATTGCTGCTTGTACATTTAACACCTGTTATATTGGCTTTCCAGGATCACCTTAATTAGAACTCTTAATTTTAAAAAGGGGAAAGGGAGAAATTGGTAACTAGATGAATAGATTTCATATCAGGAAAAAAAGTTCTCTCCTTTGCATACTTAAAATATAAAGTATTTGGTACTGCTTTAGCAATTGGCATAGGTTAAAGGCAGTACATGCAAATAGTGCCAAGTCCTCTTAAGGTTACATCCTTATTCTAAAGGTTCAAATTCCTTCAGTTTAATGTTTTGTAAAACATTTGTTTCAATACCCTCCCTACTTTAGAGTTTAAATACTTAAAATACTATAATGCAAAAAAAAATCTAGGATACCTATGTCCTAGGTTCCCAGAAATCTGCATCTAGGCAAAAACAAATACTTTTAATTAGCTTATAAGAACTTGGAAAATGAAATCCTTTAGGATAATGAAGTGATACATCAGAGTACATAAAATCAATTAGAAAGTAAATTTAAAGACAGAAGGAAGTAAGGCTCAGTGTGAACATGTACTTTCTCATTGCCCTGAAATTAAAAACTTGATAAGCTTAGAAGAAATTGATTTTTCTCCACTACATACTCCAGAATAATGTATTTTGTTGAAGTAAGAGGACTTGGGTGCTGGAAATTTAACAAGGCTTCCACAGTGAAATGGAGCTCACCTGTCAGAAACAATCTAATGGCTTCTAAAGAGCAGACAACTTTGAGTAAAAAGTAAAATCAGAACCATTTCTGTTTGAGGAGAAAACCTATAAAACTAGAAAAATCTTAAAGACAAGCTTATAGTTTAGATAGTAAAACACTTCATTTCACATGACTCATGGTCTAAGTGGGAACAGATATTCTCATGGAAATGCAATCCTTTAAGCAACCAGTATATGCAGAGTTGAATCATCTAAGGGTAGGCCACATAATAGGTATTTTATAACTTAAAGAACTTAGTGGAAGTCAATCCTAGAAAAAAAGGCAGAACAAACAGATGGTCTGTTAAATTTATCTGAGCTTTTTAAAGTGAATAATAGACTAAATTAATACTTATAATGTAGGCACTGGTAGCTTTCTCAAGATAGAAATACTTGGAAGACACCTTATTTATGTATATAGTTAAGAGTAAGGTGAATGCAGTAGTTGAAAGGACTGCAACATACTGATCAGTAGTGCTCACATTACAAAGTTTAAAATGTACTTTGAAAAGTACTTTGGAAAAGTTTTATCCCTAGAGCTTCCCTTGTAAAAGAAAATTTAAAGATGGAACTTAACACAATATAAACTGTGTAAGACACCAGTATTTGGGTGGTAGAGGATATTGGTATATATTATACTGACCTAATTTAATGACCACTGGACCATATTTTAAGATACTTCCGGAATATTTTATTCTAGAAGACCATTAAAAACCACAATTAAGCAGTTATTGTAATTTTTCTTATTAAAGTATTATGCTTACCCAAAGTATAGTATATATATTAACTTGACTCTTAAAGGGATGTCTTAATCCCCATCCACCAGATTTTTATCTAGGAATAGAAGGATTCAAACCTTACTTGATCCCTAGCTCTTTGCTGAAAAGTGCATAAACAGGAGTCCTGAATTTATTATATAGACCTCCTCGCATTATGTAATCGAAGCAAAGGGAAACCAGCGATGGAGTAGAGGTACGTAGACTGAAGAGATGCTTGCAAATCAAATAGTGGTACTAGGGTTAGTCAAAATTTCTTGTCAAACTTGGTCAATATAAATCACAAGTCCAGAGAAAAGCTAGTTAATTTTGTTCCCTGAGGTCCTTTTACTGAGAGAGAAAAGCAAGTAGAAGGAAAAACAAAGAGGGAGGGATAAGGGAAGTGGGGGAATGGTGTAAAGCACTAGAAAGAGTTAAAGTAGGTATGATAAGCTAGAAAAAGTTTTAAACCTACTAATGACCACAATTCTATTTTAATCAGCTATTTAGCTGGTACCTACTGCTATATCACCTAGTGTGAAATTTCGGATTTAATGGAATAATGAAGGAAGCAGTACAGCTGGAGGCTCCAAGTGCACATCGAAGGTAGGTTACTCTTTCAGCTTAAATTTGAAGTCTAAGCTTTTGGATGAGAGGGACTTTGTTAGTGAATGTAAAGATTAAAAATTGATAGGGTTCTTGTAGCAGAAGTCTGATCAGTGGAAGTGCCAACTACTGGTAACAGATGAAACAGTAGTGTGAGAACCTAAATGAGGTGATGATTGTAATTCCTATAAGTTAGCAAGAGAATGGAATGTTACAAGAGGAGGCAGAAAGAAGGCATTCTATGTGAAGTGAAAGTTGAGATATGAATTCAGGTCTTGGTGGCCAGAGGTACACTGGAGATAGGATTGGCAAAACTTCATACAGCTTAATCTTGATGTTGAATGGCAGAGTGCAAGACCTTTGGATGGAAGTACCAGAAGTGGAAGTGTCAAGATAAACTTGGAGAGGCATCCAGTAGCCATATGATAAGGGCCTGGAGCATATTACATGGGCCAGTAGTTCATTGATGCATTTTGTAACATCTTAATAGTTCAAGAAGGAAAAGTGCTAATGGTATAAACTTATGAAATGACATTTAAAAAATAATCCAAATGATTGTTTATTAAAACTTTCTGTTTTTATTCAGGCCTCCAATTTATGCAGTCACTGTACTGTGAAAATGAACTAACCTTGTTGGTGAAAGCCTTGGAAATTTTTACCAGCTGAGAGATTTCTCTCTTCCTCAGGGTAAGATGTAATCATAGTGTGCTAGACTTGAGAAGGAACTTGAGTCACTTTACCCAGTTGCCTGATTTTATGTTACAAGTTACTGAGAACAGAAATGGCTTGCACGGCTTGTTAGATTCCAGATTTGATTAGTAGTTAACCTCCCTCCGCCAATGCAGTGCTCTTTTAAAACATGGCTCACATCATGGACTTTTTAACTTTTTTAAGATCAATTTGAATAATAGACTGAACTCAACTTTATTTGTATCACTGAGAAGGCAGATGATCTTACAAATGGCATTTTCTTTTCCAATCACCCTAATCAGTATCCAGGTCCTTCCTTTTGTGGCTGCCAGGTGATTAGGATCAATAAAAAGTCTCGTAGACCTTGTGCTTGACAATGTCACTCATGATGGTTAGGGCATTTGGTAACCACACAGCCTGTGCACCCTGACACTCATAATGACAGCCATAAGAAGGTAGGCATGGGACTGAAAACGCTACCTCTCCTGTGAATTCAACTGGAGCAAGCCCTGCCTATCCTTTGAAAAGGAATACAGAACAAAATAAAGTTTCAGAGCCTGAGGGTATAGCTCGAGTGGTAGAGCGCATGCTTAACATGCATGAAGTCTTGGGTTCAATACCCAGTACCATCTTAAAAATAAACAAAAGTCTAATTACCTACCTACCCCCACGAGGAAAAAGAAAGTTTCAGGACATCTCTTCCTTGCTCTGTTGAGCTGTGGTAATCCATAGAACCAATAATAATAAATACCATAATCATGTCCACTGGTGTCTTTTTTTCATATTTATCATTCCTTAACCAGGAAGGCCTCTGGGTTGTGTCTTAAGTATTTCTTGAAAAAAAATTTTGCTGTTTATTAAAGCCAAAAATGATGAATGAATGAGTAGATCCTGAGGACTTAGTTGGATGTTTTGTGCTGTTTTTTTGTTTTATGGCAGCCAGTTGAATTGTAAGTCTTTACATTAATGTAACAATCTGTAATTCTGCAGTTATACTTCCTTTGTGCCAAACAAGTTCTGAAAATATTTCCAGCCAAAAACAACCTAAGAGATGACTCACTTGTTGAAATGGAAGAATAGTGTCAATGGGTACATTTTTTAAATGATTCAGAAGTGACAATCTGTTAGTTTTAAGTCTTGATACAACAGCAGTGGCTTTAGAAACCAGGAAGTATCTATCCCCTCATTTAACAGGGTACAGTAATACAGTTGTGATTTGTTTTTAAGGCAAGTTTTAACTCCAACTGAGACAGATTTCATTTTTTTGAAATGTCATGTGTACTCACTACTTACTACAGGAAAACACTTTTCCAAGCATGTTAAACACTACGTTTAAGTGTGATGAGCCTGTGACGTGCCATATGAGCAGTAGATACAGGAGCAGAGTCAGTGTGTAAGTATTCATTCGTACACATGTGAAAAAGACTACAGCTTACACGTACTTTATTTACTTGATTGAAAGCCTTCTGGTACATAAAATGTGTTCTGTAGTTGACCTCAGCTGTGTTCACCCTGAAGTGAGTTTTATCTGAGTTTCCTACGCTCAAGACTGCTCAGGTGCTGCCGCCGCTGCCGCCATTGGTTTGTTTTCTTTCAGGATCAAGGTGGGTACTTTCATACAAAATCTTATTTTTAATCCCTTCTCTGGCAATTCTTTCCTGGATTCTTAGCTTTGCATAATTATACCTACAATGGAACCTTGTAAGAAGAAGAACATGAATAAATTATTAATATAAAACATCTATAGAAAGAAACTAATTTGAAATTTGTAATCAAATTTTAAAAATGCTTACTGATGACTATCAGTGTTTGATATATACATTCTTAAAGTAGTACTTTCAGCTGTTACGCCATGGGAAGGGATGATATGAGCATTAGGATAAAAGTCTGGGGCCTTCCCAAATGAAGTGTAAACCCTGACATGACATCATCTGTTCATTTGACAACGGTACAAAACGTGTATATTTGTATATTTCTTAAAGTAAAGGCATTCTAGCAATATTTTGTAAGATAAATTTTTTCACTGCGGGTAGGAAATCTCCCAGGGGGAGATTGCTCTGTATAGAGCATGTGCTTTGGGATTAGATAAATGTATTACAATCATAGATCTTGAATGCTTAGTATACATACCAGCATCCTAAAGTCACCAAGATAAATCCTCCTACTCCAACATCACATGATCTTCTAATTCTACCTGTGAAAAGAAAGCATAACCACATAATTATACATTATGTATGTTACAAATTATCATCCAGGAAAATACTGTTCACACGTAGAGAAATGTGTGTTTTTTATATATAGAGGAAAATACATACTCACTAGTTAACAAAAAATGTCCAAGGCCAGCCACAACAGATCCTAATGAACCATATAAGATGGAATCTCGTGCACAGGGAATGCTTTCGACATCTAAAATTCCTAGGAGCTTAAAGGGCTAGGAGAAAATAAAAAAGAACCTAGATTGAACATGAAAATATTTTATTTCAGTGTGGTTTGGCAAAGATTAAAACTGTCTTTAATCAGCCTGCTATGGTATGTAATCTGAACCTTTAAATGGAAACCTTGAGAAATTGACCAGAAAGTCCTGAGCAGTAGAGTAAATCAAACCTTATGGCGTTATGGTTACGCCATAACTTGTTAATAAACTGTCTTGGAGATAAGGGCATACCATTATTTTATAAGCTCTTTTAAAATGTGTATGAAATCATTTGGGAATTTGGCTAAAAGTGAAATTGAAAAGCAGTAAGACAGTTAATTCAAATTCTACTTATTTGAGAATCCTAAATGGGAAAAGTGAAACTTTCAGCCATGTTGCTTATAATATTAGTATACTGCTGTTTTAAGTTCCTTTAATGATGACTTCAAATCTTACCAGTGAACATCAGTTGTGTCTGTTAGAATAAATATTTCATGTTAAGACATCTTTTGTCTGTTTCCTTGCCTGTGAAGTTACACTTGATTGTATTTAATTCTTTGTTGATAGTACATGGTAACCAAACCAAAGCATGAAGGAAAATGCTGGAAATCTGTGGAGAGTTGGATTTGTCTCAGTTCTATCACTAACTTCTGGAACCTGTAGGATATATTTTTTTTTATCGGGCCCTCAATCAATGAAAGTGTTGAACTAGGTGATAAATGAGTTCCTTCAAGTGCTAAAATGATTTTAAAATTCTTTTTCTACAGTCTTCATTAGATGTATGGATTTGTTCTCCTTAATCAAAAATACTGCCACCTTAAGCATAACATTTTTAATTTGAATGTCTGTCACATTATCGTACTTAAAGGTTTGGGGAGGGCAGGACACTTTGTTAAAAGTCATACTTAGGTTTCACATTCTCTTATTAATAAAAAAAACCCAGAAAACTTTTGATTCTGTTTTCCTAAAATTTGACTAAATGCAAATTTTCCATAATGTAGCTTTTTAAAATGAAGCCCCTTACTCAGTCTATGGGATGAGATACCTAGCAGGTGTCTATATACTGTAAGGAGGGAAAAGATTGGGAGAAATAGGGAAAGGACAGTAAAAGAGAAGTCAGATTAAAGTTGAAACATGAAGGTGTTCCTGATTGTTTGCTTTGGCTCAAGCTTCTGCAGAAAAGACAAAATGACTTGGTTCCTAATAAAGCAAAAATTATATACTTTCTTGGATCATTCTATTCCATTTTTTTGCCTCTCCCTATTACACCCCCTAACATGTTTACTTCATGAAGCAGGTGCTCATTAAAGTTGCGGGGTTTAATTTTAAAAGTTCTTCAGTACAAATCTTCATAGAAAACTTGTTTCTCATCCTCACATCACAAGCCAAGTGGAGTCTGCTTTCACCTTCAGGTAGAGGTCTTAAGCAGTAAGAATAAAAGGAACCATCAAGCGTTGCCCACATCATGCCAAACACTGCACCCCCCCCCCCAGCCAAAGATAGCACAAGTTACTTTAAGGTTTCTGGGCTTTTTTCATTTGGATTCGTTTCCATAATAGAGCTCTAGCGTGTGACCCTGGGATACACCAGAATGTGCAAACATTTCTTAGAGATACTTGGACAAAATGCTTTCAGCCCCAGTTCTTTACCAAGTTGTAAAATACACTTGCCAGACATCTGGGTAACTTGATCTTTTTAGAGATTTTCAAATCCCACCCTCAGATTCTGATTCAGTAGGCCATTGGCATTTAGGGAACTGTTTATAGAAAAGTGCATTTTTTTAAAAGTTGCAAATAATGGAATGATCCAGTTTATTAAAAAAAATTTCCTTTTAGTGGTACCTTCTAAAACTAAAGTGGATTAAAGGCCAAGGATGCTGCTGCTAAATGCATACAATGCACATGTCAGCCCCACCTCCAGCAACTGCCTTGGTCTAGTCAGGAGACCAAATTAAACAATCTCATAATTTACGTGCTGAGAGGCTATTGGTGCCAGGCCTGTGCTTTTAATTCTCGACTTGTCTATGTGACATTATCTCTGAAACAGGCTCAGAGTTTAAGTAGAAGGCTAATGAGTGCTGGCAGAGTGGATGTGGAGTCAGCCTGGCCTTCAAAGCCTCATTTCCACTGCATCATTAACCCTTCGGTTTTTTATAGTTGAACACTAAGGCTCACTCGTACACAGAGTAATAGAAATAAGTGCATAATTGTACATTTGCAGTTTGTATCAAAACTGTGGGTAAGGATGTACAAATACTTTCTAAGACCACATTTTTCCCTTACTAGTAGAGACTCATCAGCCTCCTGGTAAAGTTAGAATTTAGACTACTGATGACTTAAAAGCAAGTATGAAATACTATTAATAACAAAGTGGTCTTGAGCATATATAATGCTTGTGTGAACACACTGAACTGTGATTATCAATCCACGCCTGAAGTCCTTTTGAGGTAGTTCTGTTTGTAAGGTACAAGCACTTAACATCCGTCTTTTATTCCCCCAATCTGCAAACAGGTTCCCTGTTAATAACAGTAAAGCCTTTAAATGTAAAGAAATTTTAGACTTTTTTTGGTAGACTAATTTTTTAAGCTTAGATTTAGAAAGGCAGCTTTACCAGCTCACCTTGATGGAATTGAGGGAAGCTTAAAAATATTTCTAAGCCATGCAGATGATACAATGAAGTATCATCTCACACCAGTCACAATGACAGTCATTGAAAAGCCCACAAATGATAAATGTTGGAGATGGTGTGGAGAAAAGGGGACCCTCCTGCACTGTTGGTGGGAATGTGGTCTGGTGCAGTCACTATGGAAAACATAGTATGGAGGTTCCTTAAAAAACTAAAGATACACTTACCCTATGATCCAGCAATCCCACTCCTGGGAATTTATCTAGAAAAACAACTGTTTGAAAAGATACAGGCATCCCAACGTTCATAGCAGTACTTACAATAGCCAAGATGTGGAAACAACCAGATGACTGGATACAGAAGATGTGGTGTGTATAAAATGTATTAATATACACACACAATGGAATACTACTCAGCCATAAAAAAGAATGGAATAATGCCATTTTGCAGCAACATGGATGGACCTAAAGTTCATCATACTAAGTGAAGAAAAAGATGAATATCGTATGACAACTTACAGGTGGAGAGAAATGTCGCAAATGAACTTAACTACAGAACAAAGAATGTCTCAGACATAGAAAATAAATTTATGGTTACCAAAGGAGAAAGGGGGGTGGGGGAGAGAGAAATTAGGAGTTTGGGATTAGCAGATACAAACCACTAAACGTAAAATAAACATGGTCCTACTGTATAGCACAAAACTATATTCAATATCTTGTAATAACTTCAGAATATGAAGGAATATGAATATATTTATGTATAACTTAATCATTGTGTTGTACACTAGAAAATAACATTGTAAAATCGACTATACTTCAATTTAAAAATTTTCTAAGCCAGAACACCAACTTAATAATTTATAGGAAACATCAAATCAAACCAGAGCTACTTTATTTTCCACCACCCATTCCCTCTTCCCTTTATTTCAAAGGAGTACTTAGCCATACTATTTAAAACTAGTCCCCATTGTGGCAGTTGGTTCCTCTCTGGACTCTCAAGGATTTTGCTTCTGTGGTTATCCTTTCTTTCATTTGCATCATTAGTTTTTCCTCTACTGAACAATCTCTAGCCTAGAAACATACAAGACAAACTCGCTTCAACGAGACATTTATCTCAGGCACTGTAAAGGCACCGCCAAAGTCGGCTAAAAGACATCCGTTTTGCAAAATCCATCATACTCTACATCTCATCACATGGCACAGATAATCATTTGTTTCTGAAACATTTTCTTTGCTTAGCTTCAAATACTGTTAATCAGATGACTCTAAAATGACAGCAGTTCTCTTATCAAAGGTGAACAATCGGATTCAAAAAGGATAAAAGCCCCATTCAAGATCCCAGTGTTCTCACAAAACAATCTAGAATTTCGTGTTTGATGATGTGTTGCCCCAGAAATATGTTAAGTTTCAAACAAGGGTATATTTTGCTACACAAAGCATATTCCAAATGGCATGTGAGGCATGAAAAACAAAAGGTACCAATAGTGTATAAACTGACAAAACTTGTTCTCATAATAAATATGGAAACAAGTTATCCAGCATTTGTTCATAACCGTCTGATGATCCACCTTGGCTAAATTTGGATGAAAAGTCCCCAGAGAAGCAAGAACTTTGAAGAAATGTGCAAAATTCTCAAGCTCAGCAAAGAACATTTTAAAACTATAGGTGCAATCTATCACATAGCAAGTTTCAATAAATGTTTGTGAATAATTGATCCAATATTATCTCTATACCTTACTATTTAAAAACTTTTCTTCTTGCATTATCTCTTTAATGAACATTTGTTATTTGCTCTGCACTGAAGGTATAAAAATTGTGTTCCCTGCTCTTAAGGAAGATACAAATTATTAACTTCCGGTATAATGCTGTAATGATACAGCTACATACAAAGTGTCAGGGGAGGTGGGGACAGAAGCGCCTCAGTCTCCTTTGAGAAGTCAAGAGGCCCTTTCAAGACAGACCAGACAGCCCTGTTTAGCTTTAGTACACCTGGAGAGGAAAGCAAAAGTCAGACGTGTACTGAGTAGTAAGGTTAGGTGACGGGCTTCACATTACAGGCCAAAAAATTCGGATTCTATCCTGAAAGCAGTGGGTTTTAAGAGGCGGTGAAATTATCTATCCATTTTACACAAGGATAACTGTGGAAAAGAGGGCTGAGGAAGGCAGAGCACCTTAGTGAATACCAGCTAAGGAAGCTATTGGTTACATGTAACACTGCATGCTCCACGTGGTCCAGTGAAAGCAAGGTTAAAGCGAAAAAAATCTTAATCTTATCTGATCCTTCTGCCCTGGACATAAATTCACTGAAATGTAACCAAGTTTTCATCCCTCAGCATTTACTGAGCACTCTATTTTAAATGTGGTTAAGTATACGGCCTTAAAGACAAGTCACCTGT